TGTACATGCGTATACCAACCGCGAATGTCACGTCAAGAAACCGAGAGGAGAACTGAGTGGTGTACAATGATGTGAACATAAATGGTTTGAAACAGCAAGTGTAGAATCCATTCAAACTCTGTTCACGCACATGCAATTTGCGTACCATGGAAATACGCATGTTGTATGTATATCTGTTGTATATGTATCTGATGTATGTATATTTGTTGTATGTATATCTGTTGTATATGTAACTGTTGTATGTCTATCTGTTGTATGTATTTTTGTTGTATGTATATCTGTGGTATGTATATCAGTTGTATGTATATATACATATCTAATATGCCTTTTAAGTTGTACAAGCACATACCTAGGGTGTAGACCTCCCACATAAGAATGCCAAGCATATACACATCCGACGCTGTGGTGTCCGGTTCTTTCCTGTACAAATTGGTGTTAAACCGTTCAATGTGTTGGAATCAATTTTAACTTTTTATATCAGCTGGACTCAACACATTAAACTGTTTTTATGAAATAAAAACCAGTCGTTCTATCATATTCCAACTCATACCACAGGTGTGTTTCTGCTGTCTGATCCAAAGTGCATTGTCACGTCGTGTACCGTGCACTATGTTTGAACACATACATGCGCACATTCTGCATGCGTACAAGTACGTGAGGGCAACAACTGTTATATAACTTGATCATTGGTCTGAGCCAAGCTCTTTGAATGGCACAAACGACGGGTTCTGTGTGTAGTAAGGCTGCTACACGCAGTTTCGGATATGCCAAAGGACATGAAGCAAGGTTCGTATTTTGTGATATGTAAGGTGTAAAGTAATGACAATATGCAACTGAGATGATTTATTTAGTACTGACTGTCCTGCGTAGAAGCTCTCAGGATGTGTGTGTGTGAAAACAATACATACACACACACACACACACATATATATATATATATATGTGTATATATTGTTCTATTCAAATACCAACCTGAAGATCTCGGGGGCCGTAGAGCGCACAGGCAGAAGGCGAGAGGTGATGCGCTGGTACGTGCCTGCCTCAGACATGCGCCGGGACAAGCCCAAGTCAGCAATCTTGCAGTCGTACATGTTCTTGGTTCGCCACTCTGTTTGGATATAAGGGTGCTTGTAAGTGGTTAGTCCTCAAAATATATTGGCCATGTAACTTTCTTTTGTTGTCATATGATCTGCGTTGGATACATGCATGGGTGCACTCCCTTCCGTGTGAGGGTTTTAGGGTTTTACTTGCGCCGGACTATAGCCACACCAGCGATCGCGTAGTCTTATGTTGGCCTTTGTTTGCTGTACTGCTTGGCAGCAGGCTTATGGCACATTTAGGAGCCCGGGTATGAGTGTGATGCACTGAGATGTGTATGGGCCTGTTGTACCGCAGAGGACTGGTATGGATAGCAGATACGATTGAACAACCCCATTTCTACTATCAGTGGTATTTAAATGCTTGGATACTATCATATATCCCAGGAATCAATAACAAACATAATACGGACTCAGGTCTTGCAAGCAAGTGCAGCGAACTATCTCGTCTCAGTTCTAGGACACACTTTGGGTAAACCCCATACCGATACGTGACTCTTGCATGCCCCGTATATCTCGGGATGGCTTGTGCGTGCCTGGCGTAGCAACAGCCAGGATAGCCCACACACGCATGTGTCTATGCTTGATTCTGTGCTCTTGCAAGTGCTTTAGCCTTCACATCACTTGTATTACAAACCACAGGCTTGTAATACAAACCACAAGCAACCTGCAAAAACACATAGCAATGTACTGGCATAGATACGACTACACCACGACCATACCAGGGGATGGTCTATGCGTGCCTGGCGTAGCAGCCAGCACGTTGCGCACATCTATATCTCTGTGCACGATCCCGTGCTCATGCAAATACTGTAACCCTCGCACCACTTCCAGTACAAACCACAGGTACTCTGCCGGAGAGTAAGGGGCCTCTATAGAGGTCTCTGTAGTGTTTGGAGGGGTCTTTCAGAAGGCATCCGAGGTTAAGCCGCCTTCGGTGATATTCGGTGCTACGATGGCTTCCAGCTTGCTTCGTAGCACTTGTTCGAGTGAACCTAGGTCCTGTAACCGGGGGGAGTGGGGGGGGGGGTTTAAGCAGGGGTTTAGGTTCTGGTAAAAATGTAGTGTAAACATTTATACTTAACTGTTCAGGCATCATAGTTTGTTTGATGTCTGAG